ATGTTCTCAAGAAGACTACAGGTTCTCTTGCGATTCCGTGGCCGCTTACATAGTCTCCGCGTGCCCCCTTCTTCGCGTATCAAACATCGATATCGAGTGGGGGGATGTTGATCGATTCAAATCGTAAACGGTAGAATTGTTTTCAAAATCTGTTTTGAAATCGATCGATTTTCATTAATATTATAAGCAATGTGCATAAGTTAACAAAGATCTCGATTATTATTCATACAGGAAAATCTTATTCTAATAAATTCTAATAATTTTCAATTACACGGAAATGTATGTATTAAAAGTGTAACACTTTGTAATAAAAAATACTAGAATTTTGTAAGATTTTTGTAGAATTTTGTAATATTTTTTTTTTTTTGTATTATATGTGATATAAAAAAATTTGAACAAATAAATCGTAACGTATCTATAATTTTCTTTTGGATTTTCTTTGAAGAAGAAAATTTCATTGTGGAATCTAGTATATACGCTGGAACTATTATCATTCGTCCTAAAATAAACTGCACGTTCTTTTTGAATCTAGAAAATTTCGGGAGTCATGGCTGCTGAACTTTAGGGTGAAAAATGAGACACTTAATAGTCGTAAAGTGTCGTCACTCGTCTATTTCATAAATCAACTGTGCATCGATTTTTTTTTTTTAAGATTGAAATATTTCCTGAAAATCGGTTCCAGTTCTCCGTAAGTTTAAGAATTAATTATGGAATATTTTTTTATTCGATGTAAAATAGATCATAAATGTAGAATTTAGTGGTAAAATCATCGCCAACACCCATTTCAACTTCATGATATATTATTCATTCAGGAATAACATACTTAACTTGCATCTACATGCAAACTAGAATCTGATGCAACATCAATCCTTGATTTCATCAGATGGTTGTTTTAAAACCACCGAAACTCTCGATAAAAAATATCAATTAAAAAATGCTTGGAAAGTTTTAAACGTTTCTATTTTAATTCGATATTTGACGATAGATTTTTACGTTTTGATTTATGTATTGTTTTACATTGTGAACATTATAATCTCAGTGAAATATCATTTCGATAGATTTTCGAAGAGAAATCGATGGCATGAATCATTAAAAAATATTTTCTAATGTTTTATTTTATCTATCTTTTATATTGATGCCGATGATGATTAACATCGGCCAGATATAAGATAAACAAAACTTTAATGAAACTTTATATCTCATGTTTTGAAATACCGATCTTGAATAATATATTTTTAATGATTTAGAATAATAAGTACAGGAATTATATTCAATTACATAAGTTTGTGAAATTTTTAAAAATAATTTCTTTAATACATTTTTTCATAAATATTTTCAAGCATTATACTTGTATATTAAATTATATTTATTGATATTTTAATTGTTACGAATCTCAGATAAATTTTAATATTATTGATAATATTATTGATAAATTGAATTATTGATAAATTAAAAATTTCACTTTATATTTTTTTTTATAATAATAAAAATAATATCAATTTATGATATTATAAATATATGTTCCTTATAATATATAAAAAAATTTATATATACATAAAATACATATATTTTTTACAATATATAAAAATATAAAAGTAGATATATATAACATGCATCGAATAAAATTTATTGATTTTTAATTAATTATAAAAGAGATTATAAAATTAATCAAATATTGAAGCTGTCGCTTGAACATATAAATTTTACAAAATAAATAGAAGATAAACAAAGAGAACAAATAGTGGAAGAAGGACAAAGATAGTATAAAAATATTGAAATCAGCGCCATCTTCAGAGTGCCGTAAATGAAACTCAGAAAGAAAGGATAGAAAATATTAGAAAAAAGATAGAGATAGTACAAGAATTAACTTTTAGCACCATCTCTTGAATATTAAAGACATCTCTTTAAAGGAGGATAAAGTAGAATAAGAATTTAGGATTAACGCCATCTCTGAATGATTTCAGAAAAATATTTCCTTGAAGAAATTTCTTTGATTTTCAAGAGATGGCGCTGAGAGTCAATTCTTTTCTATCTCTATCCTTTTCTTGTAATTTTCTATTTTTTTTTGTGTGTTTTATTTGCGGCACTCTGAAGATGGCGCTGATATCAATAATTTTAGTCTATCTTTATGCTTTTCCCACTATTTGCTCTCTTTGTTTCACTTGTTCTTGATATATAATTATGAACAAAATATAGAACATAACTGATTGTAATTGAACATGTATTTTTATCATTTCTATTTTAAAACTATAATATATAATAATTAATTATTTAAAACAAATTATTAATGTTGTAATCTTATTTTGGTCCGAATCATTGAAAATAATGCTAAAATGCTAATGAGAAGGGGAGCAAGAAGATTTTCTCTTGAGATATGGCAAAAAATGCATTATATATTATATTCTATGCATTATATATTAGATTTGTTTTCATTTATTATTATTTTATTATTAATTTATCATAGAAATTGTAAAGATAATAAGACATATATTTTAAAAAGATATTATTTACAATTAAATAAAATATAAAATTTATAAGATATAAATAAAATTTTGTTTTTGTATATAAAAATTTTGTTTTTTATATGTAAAATAATATATAAATTTATTAAAATATTCTTATATGAAACTCCTATAACATAAAATCATGTAATATAATTCATCTAGCTTCCACCATACTTTGTTTTCCTGGATTTAGATTAATCAAACGGTTTGAATTTTCAGCTAATTCAGTAATACTGATTCTACCACGTTGTCTGACAAATTTTGCTACAGCTTCAAGTTCTTCCTGAGAAATATAAATAAATTTTCCTCTGTCATCAATAACTCCAGTTAAACTTCCAGTTGCTTGAAGCTCTTGAATCCTTTCTATTACACTTGCTGTTTTTAAACTAAAATATGCAGCCAAATCTTCAAGAACCACCACTTTGTTTTGTTTAATATATTGAAGAAACTGCTCTAATAGATTTTCTTCATCTTCTTTGATCTCCTGATCATATCCTTCTTCTTCTATACTAAATGCTTCTTTCATTTTCAAATATTCTTCATATTCTCTTTTTTCTTTTTCCTCTCTGGCTTTTCTTTCTGCTTCTTCTTGTTTTAATTCTTCTGCTCGTTCTTTTTCATATTGTTTATCCCTTTCTTCTTGGAGAAGTTGTTCTCTTTTTTTACGCTCTTCTCTTTCTCTTTCAGCAGCTTCTCTTTGAGCTTTCTTTTCTGATTTAGCTGCTAATTTTGCTCTTTTCTTTGCACCCATTTTGAAATCAGGAGTGGATGGCTTTTCATCTGCTTCATCATTTGCTTCATTTCCAGATCCATTATCATCTTCTTCAATTTGTTGACTAGAAGTTGCTTGCATACGACGTCTAGCATTCCTTTGACCTGCTGCTCGTCTTATTGGTCTACCTTGTGCAGCTCTTTCTACATTTGTTTGTTTTTTTCGTGCAGCTATAACATCGAAATAACAAAATTTTTATGTTTTGTCAGTTTGAATATTAAATATAAAGAAGTAATAATTAATTAAATTTGTATATTTTATTTTAATTATTTTATGAAATGTACATACAGTTAATTCAATATTTATAATAATTAACAAAACATCTGTTTCATAACAAAATTAAAGGTTAGGAATATATTTAGTTGTAAGGAAAGATATATTTTAATAATAACAAAAAAGTTTTTTATGAGTGAAAACGTACCGGATTTTTGTCTTAAAAACACTGTACAAATGAGAATCAATACAATGATTAAAACAGCGAAAAAAGCTAATAATGTAACGTCCATTTCTTGTTTTTTATTTTATTAAATCTTTTTAGCTTTCGATTATCGAGAGTCAATATCGATAACGCGCAGTAGCGCCGCATACGTGAACTTCACTGTTGTTTTCGAAGGTGACGTGTGCCCTATTAAGTTTCACGTAGAATTTCTTTCGTAATTTAAGTTTTGCCGTGCTATTAAAAGCACTGCTCATAAAAAATCATGTTAAAATACGGTATATTTCTAGTATTATTGTGTATTCTCGAATATGGTACAGGACTCTATTTTCACATTGCTGAAACTGAACGAAAGTGTTTCATGGAAGATATTCCAGATGAAACGACTGTTTTAGGTATGTTAAATATATTTGTTAGTAAAAAATAATATCAATTACGTGTCAATGATATGACTTTTATTAAAAATTTTTATTTTTCTTTATATAGTAAATTACAAAGTTGAATTATATGATCCAAGAACCGGTGGATTCGCCCCGAGCAGCCCGGGAATGGGAATGCACGTGCAAGTTCGAGATCCAGATGATAAAACGATTCTTTCCAGAGTGTATAGTTCAGAAGGAAGATTTTCTTTCACTTCTTTCATGCCTGGAGAGCATATAATTTGCTTATATTCTAACACTAGTTCTTGGTTCAGTGGTGCTCAATTAGTAAGACTTTTATTCTAATAATGTAAAGCAATAATTATTTATATTGTTTAATGTAATTGAGTTTATTACATTATATAGAGAGTGCATTTGGACATTCAAGTTGGTGAACATGCTATTGATTATTCTAATACAGCTCACAAAGAAAAATTTACTGAATTACAATTGAGGATACATCAACTTCTTGATCAAGTGGAACAAATAACAAAGGAACAAAATTATCAGAGGGTTAAATCTCATTTATTTACTTTTTCATTTTTTTGTTAAAAATTTGGATTATAATTTTATATTCTTTGTTTACAGTATCGAGAAGAACGTTTCAGGCAAACATCTGAAAGTACACATCGCCGTGTATTCTGGTGGTCTCTAATACAAACTGTGATTGTATTGATTATGGGTACATGGCAAATGAGACACTTGAAAAGTTTCTTTGAAGCTAAGAAACTAGTATAAGATCAAAACTAATAATTCCAATAATATTAGTCATTTAAAAAATGAACTTTTTCTTGTTATCCTCAATATAAGGAATCCTCAATATAATTTATTTTAAAAAAAAGAAAAAAATAGAAGAAAAAAAATATATTTAGTAATTCATTTTCTATCATTTGTATTTATCATATATTACAATTTAGGCTTTTTCATACTTGTTGAATAACTAATGTATTTCTGGAGAATCGATTTTTAAATGTAGTAAAAAAATAATGTATAGAGTGAATTTTCATCAAAATAAAATATTAATTTTCAAAAAAATCGAATTTTCTTTTTTCCTGCGTTTAGTTGCATGTTAAATTTATTAATGTGAAATTATATAATATTGAAAATGACCAATGAGAATAATAACATACATGTGAATTTGCCTTTTATTGTAGTTCGATGTAAATGGTACACGTGAATGAGAAAAATAGTAAGTAATATAATTCATGTGATAAAAAATTGTTATTAATATTATTATTTAAATTATAATTTAAAAATATATAAAGAAAATATTTTCAATTATAAATGACACTATATATTTGAAAATTTAAAAGAAAAGAAAGGACATTATGTTTTCATTGCGGCAAATAATTCGATGCGGGATGCAACTGACACTTACGAAAGAATTTACAAATTTACATCAGATCTCATTGATTCGAAAAAGGAAATTTAATGTTGATCTACATGATTCAATTTTTATTCGAACGAAAACCAATCTTCCTGAATCACTAGAAAAAGAAGAAGTTAACAAAGATGCTAACAAGAAAGTGCTTGGCAAAATTCAAGCTAAAATCAAAGTGATGTTTACATGTAAAAAGTGTAATTTTCGAAATGGAAAAATTATATCGAAATTAGCTTACGAAAAAGGATTAGTTATAATTCGTTGTGATGGTTGTAAAAATAACCATTTAATTGCTGACAATCTTGGATGGTTTGAGGAATTAAAAAATAAGCAAAATATTGAAAAGTTATTGGCGGCAAAAGGAGAAACAGTTCGAAAAGTGCTAAATGATGTTGATGGATATATCGAGGTGGTTGCTAAAGCAGAATTTGATTTAATACAACATAATAAAGAAAGAAAACAACGTTTAATTGAAGAACAAGAAGATATACATAATAAAAATAAAAAGGTTACATCTTCGAAGGAATTAGAATAAAGATTCTTTAAGAAAAGAAATTTTTATTTTGATAAGATAGAGGTAAAAAAATATTTCAGTGTTTATATACTTTTAAATTTATTGTTGACTATATGTGCTTTTTATATTATGTTAATCTTACAGTTATATATGTAAAAAAATATCCAAAGTTTGGTTAACACTGAAAGATTTAAAAGTTTTTTGATCCTTTAAATTATAATCATTAAAAGAAACAAAATTTTTTCTATTATTCATGTGTATTACATGTAAATACTTCTAATATGTACAATTTAGTAAAAAATATATACTTGAATAAAATTTTTCAGATCTTATATAAATCCCATGAGACTTGCCTCTTTATTCAATATATTAAATGTAAATATAATTTTATGAAAACAAGTATTATGTAATTTTAATATCAATAAAAATTTAATTTATAAAAATGATAGATCTTGGCACATGTAGAAATTATATGGCAAGTTTTGGAATTATTAATATATTGATATTTGTATCAATTAATATGTACATGTAGATAATGTATCTTTTATAAAAAATGTCTTTTTTAACAGTGAAATATATGTAATATAATTAAATCTTTTATAAATGTGTATATATATAGTACATATATATATATATATATATATATAAATATAAAATATATAATATTGAAAACAAAAGGAATGACTTAATGTTTTTTTCTTATCATGCATATTTAAATTCTACATTTAAAAACTATCCATTGTTTATTTTAAATATTTCTGAAGGCACAACTTCTGTTGTTGAGCTTGCAACAATATTAATAAAGGACTATGAATAATTAATTATAATAATAATATTAAAGATGTCTAAGTACACCAGATGTTGGAATTGACATGTACATTTAAATTTTGTTTCATTTTATCATTAAGTTATATTTTTAGTGATTTTATTTATTATATTTAATGATATAAGGCACTATATCTTTTCATTGCAATTATTTTAATATTTTCATAATCCAATATTGAATCTTAATAATTTTGTCTTATTTAGAAACTAATGTTTCTAATATTTATTAATATATATTAAAAATTATCAGAATGTATATGTATAAAATCATTTTATCTTTAAAAATAATTATTTCTATTATAATTGACAGTGATTAAAAAGACTAGTGTTTCTTAAAATAATCTGTACAGAATAAATGTTATTTCATTTCTGTAATAAAGTTATAAAATATAAGCATTTAATTTTTCATTTAGCTCTATAAAAACGAACTTACCCTAGTCATATTGTAGACTAGTATTTTCTTATTATTTTTGAAAGTTAAAAACTTCTGGAATAGAAGTAACTTATATAATGTTCTTGAATCACTATCAAATGAAGTTACTTTAAATTTTTTATACCCTTTTTGGTTTTGATACAATTGCATATTCACTATTATTAAACACTTTATGCTTTGGACCCATATTACTGCTAGTAGATGCAGACTCAGAATGATTTGTTTTTTTTCTAATGACACCATATCCAAGGTGACTATCATCTGCCAATCTAACAGCAGACATATCTTCGACAATATCATAATTAGACCATATAGCATTTGTATCAGTTACAGTATTATTTAAAGAAGCATTAGAATATGAATTTTGAGATGCATTATTAAAATTTCCAAATTTATATGAACTTTTTTGATTAATTTTAGAATTTGCAGAACCAAAATGTTCTAATTTATCATAATCAGATTCATTACTAGGAATATGATTGATCGGCGACATTGGATTATTCGTTACTGAATTCTCTGTAATACTAGATTTACTTTTTGATGAGCTTTGGGATGTAATCATAGGCATCATTGTTTCATATTGGAAATCATCTTCATTCTCTTTGTCTTTGTCACTATGTGACGAATTTGATCTTTCTGTATGATGTATATTATCAATACCATGTGTTTTCCATGCATCATTTCTTACTTCTACTAAATCATAAGGATGTCTCTCTTCATCATCTAATATGGAACTTCCTATTGTTTTTTGAGACATCTCCGGTGAATTATCTCGATTTAATGCTTTGTATTCTCCGCACGTAGGTAAATCTGATGATTCAAGATCTATATTTCTCTTATCTAATATACCTGTAAAAACATATTTTCGCGGAGGTTTCGCAGGTTTTGGTTTAACAATAGGCAAAGAAGGCTTCGAAGATAAACTAGTATCTAAATTAGATGAAGAACTCGATTGTTTTTGAGAATTTTGAGGTGAAAAATCAATATCAATTAAATTAGCAGAACTATTTGGAGAAGGAGGTAATGCTGCTCTTGATCCAGCTTCCATTGATAAAGCTGCATGATATTGAGCATCATTGCATTCAATGTTTGGATTATTTTCCTCATTCATTAATTTTTTCATTGATCTCATTTTGGAATACATACAACGAAAAATTTCTTGTTGACTACTATGTTCCAAGCGGAAAGAACCTTCTCCAGATTCACATTTTCTTCCTGCTTCAAAAATGAATTTTCCATCCTTGTAACCATATCTCCTAATATATCGATATGGCCAAGTGAATAGAACTACATCTCCATCCATTAATTTAATATCAACTGCAGCTACTATAAGTGTATAGTTTCTAGTTTCTAAACCACATCGTTTAGATGCATCTGTTTCTACAACTTTAACAGAAAATACTCCTTCTCCACTGGTACAATATAGATCATTATTTTCTTCTATTGTCTGATTAGATACACTATCTTTAAATGCTACTAACTGAAATGCAGTAATCCAATGAGTCATATCAGATTCAGAATAACATCCAAAATAATGAATGCCTGACTTAGTCACAACCTACATATAAACACAAAAATAAATAGACATTTCACATTTTGTTTGTTAAATCTTTTGTTAAATATTTACTTACAGTAAATACATGTGACTGATTACTAGGTGCAATTTTGATGCATGCATCTAATGTGATGATACGAGGAGCATGTGATTGCATTATAGCTTCTTCTTGATTATCATATATTTCAACACGTTTGATTCCATAGTTACTAGTCCTAAACAGCTGACAAAATCTTTTATGCCAAGATTTCTGTAAAAAAATATAAATAATACGATTGGCTTTCAATATTAATATTTTAATTTCAATGAAAAAGAAAAATATAGATTTTGTGTATTTCGAAAATCATATAAAATTAAGAATGACGTGTATCAAAGCTCGAATTAGCGTTATTGAAATATTTGGAATGTTATCATCCAAACTTTATAGGTTATTTCTTGATGACGATCATTAATAACAAATAGTTGAATCAATCAATATGTTTACTTATCGAAAGATTAGAATAAATAAAATTATAGAAAGACTTTATTTGTCAAATGGATTACTAGAATTCGAAATACACGTTTATCCATGCTAATGTTAACCAACCTTGAGCTGTCCTAACATTCCCTGCGGTGGTAACAGCAGGATACCTTGTAACAGAGGTTCCTCAGGCTCCATCGTTTCCGCGAAACATTAGCAGTCTCACGTATCACTAGGAACGTACCTTTGTTCCCCTTATAATTTCGAAAAAGTGAATTTTTCCACTTTCACTCCCACTTTTTCCCGTCCGTGCTATTCCTCTCACTGGTTTGCTTCTGCTTTCGAACAGTGCTCTATCCTTTGCGATTAATCTGACAGTTTTCCCAAACACATTCAACCCATCATAATGTATGGTGCTTGACATTTCACAAAAGCTTTGAGCCCGACGTTAACGTCGACTAGATTTCCGAGGAGAAAAATTTGCTCGTTTCTATGTGTATGTGTTGCACGGATATGCGTGTTAGATATATACGTACATACACAAATCGTTCCGTTCTTGCATGGTTCCCCACACATTCGGAGGCAACTGTCGAGTAATAGAAACATGCACGTCCTCTGTCCATACGATGTCGCCCGAATTGTCACGAACGATCGTAGAAGCGCGACTATTCTGAAAGATAATTCTTGCTTTGTCTTTTGTTATTTTAATTCGTTTAATTTTATTTGTACCGAATTTTTATCAACGCATTTTACTTTATATTCGAGTTATTTCGTTCGATGTGACGTCTGGAATTCCAAAGTGTAATCAATGTGAACGAGACGGGAGATGATTTAAATCGTGCTTGTTTGCTTTCTTTCTATACGCGAGACTTGGTTATAGATAAGCATTGCAACACATCGCGACTTCCGTTTATAAGCGACAATATAATGTATTTTTTTCTATTTTCAATTATCAGTCCTTTTATTCCGATTATATTATATGTATTATAAAAATTGAATATTATTTGAAATAAGAACTTAACTTATTTTTCTGGTTATATAGCATTATACAGTAGTGTATAACCGAAGTGAAACAAAGAACGATACAATAAAAAGGAATTCGAAATGTCTCTACGATGAAAAATAAAATCACAAAGCAATGAATGATTTTTCTTATTAGTGATAGCAACATGTAAGTTGGAATAATGCAATCGACGCTACCAATTTTTATCTCTGGTTTTGCTACACGGAAGTGGTATACCAACCGATATGAAACAATACAATTGTCTTCTGCTAGTGACAAATATGCGTGCAAACGAGGTAATAACATTATTCGTCGTCGTTGCTTTGCATACATACTAATCGAAAGTATTTAGCAGGAAATATTTCATTTTTAAGGAAATCTTTTCATTTTTAGCAATTTTCAAAGTTTAATATACTTGACTGGACAGTACTTATGTTTGCATATAAAAGAATTTATATAATTATTAAAATATAAAATTATATATTGCAGATTTTATTAAATCGAAAATGTGTTAAATTCTTATCTTTTTGTATTTTTGCCTTGATAAATTTCCTTTTTTTCTTGGTATCGTATATTACAGTATTAAAAAGCTTAGGCTTGGTATCGCACGCAACTAGGCTAAATAATGTCCCGTTTCAATTTCACAAGGATTCGATCGTTCTGTAGTTAGTTATTAAAGAACTGACCTTTCCCGTGATTCGTGGTGCATCAAATTGTATTTGGCCTGCTTGGCACAGTGCTCGTGATCGTGATCAACTTGGCTTGTAATAAAAGATCGACTAAACTAATGAAGTGATACATTATTTACAAGTGTCCTCGGTTATATATTGTGCGAATAATACGCGTGGTTATTTCAGTTTGTCAATAGAAATGATATCGGTTCTGTTGCTGGTTTGGTGCATCAATTATGGGAGCAGTTACAATGATTTTCCATCTCTGATTACTTCTAATGCTACAATGGGTATGAGTGATTTACTTTCCGAAAAAAAAAAGAATTCTTTTTTATTACCATACATGATAAATTATAAAAAAAAAAAAGATAAAATTGAGTAAAGTTTGATGAAAAAGAATTTTTTCAATAGCTGTCGTCATTGATAAAGGTTTCTTCAGTAACAAAGATGAGTACCAAAATGCCACAAAAATAATACAAGATCTTATCACAGATACTGTGAAAAAGGAGATGAACTTGGGTAGTATCTCAATGCGCGTATTTCGCGATATGAATATTAATTTTAAAGGTAAATTTTCCATCCATAAATAAATAGTTATCATTGCAATTTTTGCTTCGATTATTCATTAATCTTTTACATCTTTCAATTACTATAAAGATTATACAATTCTTTTGTCTGTCGCGACCTGCTATCTAACGTGGCGTCTGCACGAGGTCGCACAAAAGGAAGAACTGACACATTTCGCCATAACAGGTAACACGAGTAACCATTTCCTAGATATTTTAATTATAAAATTAAAAAGATCCTGAAAAGGAATCTTTTTTTTTTCATTTGAAGATCCAGACTGTCCTCGAATTCCAGATACAGATGGTATAACAGTGCCATCGATCGTTCCAGGAGAAGAGCTGTCACAGATTTTTCTCGACTTAAGAATGACAGATATTCTGTCCTGGAACGTGATCAACATCCTTCACGACGATACGTTCGGTGATAAGGCAACTAGTAGCAACGATAATGTCACGATCCTTTTATCTAATGCGAACACGTGTTCACGCCTCGTTTCAGACAGAGACACGATCAGTAGAGTGTTGAAAGCCATTTCGAATAAATTACCGAACAAGCGAATGAATCTAATCTCTAGGTCGATTTTCTCGTTGAGACACGGAAACACGGGAAGCGAGAGGAAAAGTTCGGTGAAGAAGACGTTGAACGATTTTCACGTGGAACAATTAGGACATTGCTTTTTGGTGATCGCCACTGTCGACATGGTCGCGGATGTAATGTCTGTAGTAAGATTTCGTTTCTTTAACGAACATGCAATATATTTCAAATGATGAAAAGAACTTAGATTAAGATCATTGAGAACTCATATTATTCAGGAAATTTTTTTTTAAAGGCAAACTCTTTGAACATGGTTCATCCAGGTAGTCAATGGTTGTACGTGATCACAAATAGCGTGTCAGGAAATTTGATCAACACGACATTTATTAATTTACTGACAGAAGGAGGAAATGTGGCTTTCATGTATAACGCGACTAACTTGGATGGTTTCTATAAAGTAATAATTTTTAAACAATTACATATTCATATTATTATATTTCTTTGTTTCACTGTGAAAAATAAAAATTGTATTTTTCTGATAACTTTTTAAAAATTTTAAGCAATTTCTTTATATTATTTTTTCTCTATATGGTAAATAATCGTTGAAAGATTTCTACTTCAGATCAAATTAAAATGTTACATCAAGGATTTGATCGAAGCATTGGCGAAAGCTTTGGAGTACTCCTTGACGAACGAGATCGAATTGTTTAAGAGGATGAACGAGGACGAGTTCGAAATGATCAGACTGACGAAAAGCAAGAGGCGAGCCGAGCTCCTGAAGAATGTCAGAGTCAGTGAATTTGTAACATGATATTTGCAGCGTGTTTTAGCCAATTCAAATTATATTTCTCGACAGATACACCTTTCCCGAAACACGTCTGCTTCGAACAATGTTTGTGAACAATGTCTGTTATGGAGATTCTTCTCGTCTATAACGTGGGGAAATTTCTTCTCTCGTAATAAAAATATGGCTCACTTATTGGATATAGGAACGTGGACACCTATTATCGGCGTAAACCTTACGGATGTGATATTTCCTCACATCGTGCACGGATTCAGAGGAATTAATTTACCAATCGCGACTTATCACGTGGGCAAACGATTTTCCAATTTATTATTTTACAAGAAAAGTATCTTATTATTAAGAAACATCGAGTTTCACATTTTATTAGAAAGTTAATTTTTCTTAAACTTTCTTAAATTCGAAATTTCTTTGTTACGTTAAAATTGTAAACGTTATAATTGAACGTGAACGATTGTTATTTTAGAATCCACCATGGCAGATAATTTCTATGAGTAAAACGGGTAAAAAATTGTACGAAGGATTGATATTCGACGCGATCAATTATCTCAGCATGAAATTGAACTTTACGTACACAGTGATCATGCCGGAAACGAGTCAAATTCCGAGATCCTGGAACACTTCTCAATTTGCCAAGCTGGGCGAGGTAAGAATTTTTACGATATTTATCACTATATTTGTCAATTCTGCTCGATTCCGTTTATAGAAAATCAAAGAAATGACCATGTCGACCACGAAGAAAGTGCCATTGGAAATAATCGATTTGGTGCGCCAGAAGAAAGTTCTTCTGGCTGCGTGCGCGTTGACCGTGAACGAATGTGGGAATACCACATTCAATTATACCGTACCTATTTTCGTGCAGACATACAGCTTTTTAACAGCGAAACCCAGCCAATTGTCTAGAGTTCTCTTATTCGCTTCACCGTTCACCAAGGAGGTTTGTAATTGATTTTTTAAATCCTTATTTTTTTTTCGAAATAAGAATACCAAATATTCTCCGTTACCGAAATCTCGAAATAATAATGAACAAATTAACCCAACAAATTAGCTCGTGAAGATAACCCAAGAGGATAAGGATCGAAGAAGCGAAGAAAACATCTGATATTACGTTACATTAGTAACTCTCCATAATTTCTTACGAAGGTTTTCTTAGCGAAAGACTGACAGAAACGAATCGGTGTAGTTACACAAATCGCGGAGAGATATCTCTTACTCGTTTTAAAAGCGTTCGCTAATGTTTCGGCATTCCACCGCGTAATAGCGCATAATGACAGAACTATAAAGATTGTCGTCGTTCAAGTTCGGTATGTTCGCTGGCATTCCTGTTATGTTCCGGCTGCCTTTCAGATGTGGGCCTGTCTGGCTGTGTCCATTATCATAATGGGTCCGATTTTATACCTGATCCACAAGTACAGCCCGTACAGCACCAAGGCCTCCGGTCTCAACTCCTCCTGGCAATGTGTGTGGTACGTGTACGGGGCGCTTCTTCAACAAGGTACGATTTTATTGTCCCGTAAACCAACACTATTTCTTTTATATTTGCACCGATGTGATGCTTGTGATGCTTCCCTCCAGTGATTTTATTACCGATCATTAGCGTTGTTGGATTTCTTCTATACAAATTTTATTTTGGCAGATCGATTCGAATAATGTTTATTGGAAATAGTGTCTCGTAATATTGCGTTTTATTTAATATAGATTAGAATATAGATCTATTAAATAAGTAAATACTATATGAAATTTTTCTTAATCACTAAAGATCTTTATCTTATCTTTAAAATTACATTAAATGACAGACTGATTATAATTGATGAGATATACGTACTCATATATTCACTTTAATAACGTAACGTTTCAATGCAAAAGATGGAAGTTTGAAGAAACTCGGTAAAATTCCTCCTCTCATTTCAAACGCAATAGCCTTTCTCCATCCTCTGCCCATCGACTAATTAAAATTCAACGGCCAAAGTAGCGCGAAGGGGATCATATATCATCGGCCCTGAAAAATTCCAGGTGGGATGTATCTACCGCACAATGACAGCGCTCGCATACTGATCGGTATGTGGTGGCTGGTCGTGATGGTCCTGGTGGCCACATATTCCGGAAGTCTGGTCGCCTTTCTCACTTTTCCTCGAATGGACACCTCTATTTTAAGCGTGGAGGATTTGATCGCGCATAAGGATAGAATCAGTTGGGGCTTTCCGAACGGTAGCTTCCTCGAGATGTATCTGCAGAACGCCGAGGAGCCTAAATACCACGTTCTATTCTCCCGCGCTGAGAGGCATAACGACACAGAGGAGGAGAGATTGGTGGGACGTGTGAAGGAAGGGAAACACGCTCTGATCGACTGGAGGAGTTCCCTCAGGTATCGTTTCATTTATCACTAGTCGAAACCAGCGTGGAAATTCCAGCGTGGAAATTAACTGGTTCGCGAAATAGGTTCTTGATGAGGAAGGATTTCTTGTTGACCGGTAGCTGCCATTTCTCCCTGAGCATGGACGAGTTTCTCGATGAGCCTATCGCTATGATCATCCCGTACGGCAGTCCTTATCTGCCTGTCATTAACGCGGAGTAAGTTGTACGTTGACTTCTGGAGGATCGATGTCAGGAATTATTTTTAATAGTTTTTATTTTACTCTAAAATAAAATTCTGTGAGTCGAGTTGAATCTTTTTTTTTTTTTTTTTTTTTTTTTT